GTAATATCATTTTAATTTCTCATTTTTTTTTGGAAGAACAGAGGAACGGAATTGGGTTATATCTTTGGCAATCTACGAAGAGCAATACACCTCTTTATCAATTTTACACACTGTGTTTGTATTGTTTATTATTATTTCAGTACATTCTAATTGAGCAGCACATATACACACAAGAGTATAAATATCGACGAAATTCAAGGGGAAGAAACTATTTATAATTGCAATAAATATATGTAAATTATCGGTTAGCTTTATTATGCTCGTACTCGGTGTGTGAAATGTAGCGACAGAGGTGCATTTCTCTTCAGAGAAGCTCTTTAAAATGCGAATCATATTCGCGGTCTTACCAGCTACGATGCAATTTGTGTTTCGTCGAACACTGGAGTTACACAAGTTAAAATAGCTGTACAATTATTCGCTCGATAATTTGTTTTTTTACTTGAGAGCTGTGTAGGCTTCCTTTGGAAAACGAGTAGGTCACTAGTGTTTAATTTTTAGAAATCAAATTTGGAATTAAAAGACTTTCAAATTATTCTACATTTTTAAATTATGAATTGCTTTGTTAAATTATCATATTCTTACATTTTTTAATTTTTAAATTCTTGTACTCCCTAATTTTTAAATATCTAAATCAACATATTATGGGATTTTACATTTTTCAATATTTAAATTATTAAATTTTTAAATTCCCCAATTGCTACATTTTTAAATTTTTTAATTCTTCAATTGCTACATTTCTAAATTGTTAAATTCCTCAATTGTTACATTTTTAAATTTTTAAATTCCCCAATTGTTACATTTTTAAATTTTTAAATTCTCCAATTATTACATTTCTACATCCTCAAATTCCCAAACTCAAATTCTTCAATTTCTAAATTTCCAAAATTTAAAAATACCCAGGAGCTAAATTTCCAAGTCCTTAATCTCCAATTCTGCAAGCTTCTAAATTCTCAAATCTCCCAATTCTTAAATTTCCAAACCCTATTGTCAAACCTTCCTTATCTACAGTTGTCAAATTTCCCAATTTCTAATCTTTAGAAATACCTAATTTCCCTAGTCCCTAGATCTCTAAATCTCGAAGTAAACTCTCCAAATCTCTGCACTTCCAAATATTTAAATTTTCAAATTTTAAAAATTCCAAATTTAAAAATTTTAAAACTGTTAAAACCAAAATTCACTAGTGTTCTTCCTACGCCGCCATTTTCCTCAGGAAAGCCCGCCAAGCTCGCTGTACATTCAAATAATATATGCGTCGTTTTCTCATTATTTCACCTGAAAAGTACCAACAAATTAACAAAGAGTATCGACAAAATTAAAACAGAAGACGACACATATACTATAAAGATTTTGATTCGAACAATTGAATAATTACCATATTACTATGCGGTATGTTTACGCTGCTGCGTAATACTGTCTTCGTAACGTTTCAAGTATGATTTTTACGCATAGTTTTGACAATTTCCTAATTTTCCTTTCTCTTCGTTTCTCACAAACAAGATTACGAAAAAGTATACAAGACTGTTCGCTGCAACTGAATAACATGATTCGACCGCGCCAATGATTCAAACAAACATTCTCGCAGCATTATGCTCCTAACATGTATAAACGTACAAGAAAGATGTACCACACAATCGTGTTGTATTGTGCTTGCGTATGTTAAACTTACAGAAAGAAATTGTAAAAATCACTTATGTGCAAACAGCAGAGTATAAAATATAATAAAGGTAATATTTACAATGTTATAAGATTAAACACGTTTAGCGAATTCTGTAGTGCCGTCTGTTTTGTGTCACGCATTTTCGTGGTAAATCTTTCGGTTACTGTTTCAAGCGATGGCAAAATGGATGACGATACAATCTTACCATGATATTATTTTTCGAGGTTAACACAATCGCACATGTATTATATCTTTAAATAACGAGATATCATGGATACCATATATCTTGTCAAACGATTTTCATCAGGTATTGTAGAAATATTCCACGTATAGGATATACAAAACATGGTGCTAAGCTCAAAGGATCACACCGTGAACAATTTGCTTGACGAGGAATTCACGATTTATGGACCACTGATTGGGAGAAATCTGCGATTACGAGGAAACATCGAAGTAGTAACTTAATTTTAATCACAACTTATTTTTGCATTCTTTCAGAATTAAAGTATATGAATAAACATTTAGCATTCGAAGTTATTTGAATTATAAAAATATTCTAATTCAATTTAAATAATCAAAGTATTACAACTGTACAATTCGAACGTCACATAAGTTTCCCGCCAATTTCGAGTCTCCTCGACAATCGTACAAAATTAAACCCATCGTGTGTTAAAAATCGTGCATAATTTTCGTAAGAGTAAAAGGACCGAGAGTGACACTAAACACAGACACCTTTAAACTTGCTGTTTGTACTATAATGATCATGACGAATTGGAAAATCTGCCATTCGCTTAACTAAATGGCCCGCTCACAATAATCGTGGATTACACGCGTGCGGGTACCATTCATCTCCTAAACAGTATATATATAATAATAAGCATGTAAAAAAGTTGAAATTTTCTTATCAACGTCGAGCGATCATGAGGCGAAGAATAGTCACATCCGTTTTAACAATAAAAAAATGAGCACAAGTTTCGTATTTCAAGCATAGTTTTCTTAATATCGTACATTTTACGCTCCCTCTACCACCTGAATAGAATAATGTATATTCACGAGCGACGATCTACCTCAATACGCTTGACATCGATGTCAAATGACATAAAAACGAGTTAACGATCATTCTTTTTTTACAATGAACATATGATGTGTACATATATAAGAAGTATTATACGCAGGTAATATTCCCTCTTCTCGTAATTTCGTTATTCTTGCTCGTTCAAAGCATCTTTTTCTTTCTTTTTTTAAAGGATAAGGATTAAAATAAATATACATATATATATAGTTTATATTAATTCTTGCTAAAGTCATAAAGCTCATAAAATAGTACGAATTAAACTTACTGCTTTTTCTTTTTCAATATGAACATTGATGCTTTGCCCTTGGAACCGTGAACTTACGTTAAAAGGGGGATGGGCTGCCCGTACATTAAAAACATCGTTTTGTTAACTACAATTCTAAACCCTACCTGATATCGTGACTTGTATCAGTACGCAGGAGCATGAAAAAGAAAAAAGATACTCTTCTTTACTATGTATTTGGGGGATAGCACACGATGTTGCAAATAGATGTACAATATGAATGAACGATGAACAAAATTCACAAAAGAAAACGGTGATTTCATTACTCGGTCAACTACCGATTACATTGAGATGTACGGAATTCTTATTTACAGTATCAGCCTTATTTATAGTTGTACATAGGAAAATGGAACTAAATGATACATACGCACAAGATGTCCCAGAAAGATTGTACAATCTTGAATTTGTTGATTATGTGTGCTCAAACAAATTTTCTTTACTTCTATCAATTTATGACACTCTAGAGAGTTATACATTTATAACGAAACTTATTTATATTTCAATATGTTTGATTAGATATTAATACTCTTGACACTTGCTTCTTATTAGACTTAATTTTAGATTTTTTCACATATTTATTTATCAAACTTAACATTTGTTTTGATATTATTTTTCTAATATGCAGAGCTTATAATATTTGATAGTTAAAACATTTTGAATCACAAATAATGATCATATAATATAATAATCACATCTTCAATAATTAATAACAACACAATTGTGATTAACCAAAATTAATGATTACAATTATTATGTTTAAAGTTTCAGAAACGAAGCCACAGCAGATAACCTGAAAACTTGTTTAATTTATAGCGCCACTAAGAATCCCCAGTTGTTTGATTATACAATCTTTTAGAGACACTTTGTACATAGGGTGTACCAAAAATTATGGTACAAGCGGGAAGAAGATGATTTCTTGTGCAGTAATAAATCAAAAATATGGGATGACATTTCTTTTTCCTTCAAAGTTCGGTTTTCGAAAAAATCGACCATGAAATTCTGTCAAGATCTCTTGACCAACAATGAGAATAGAATGAACGGGTGTTACTGCACATATCTACTTGTGTTCGTATTTGTAAACAATATATTATTTATATATTTATATATATATATCTATATATGTTGCATATGTCCACAATGAACGCGCGTCTATAATTAATCTTCCATACGCGCAACTCCATTTTATAGATTTTTTTAACATTTTTACATTGAATCGCAGATTCATTTACTTGATTATGCTTATTTACGGTCTTGTCAACTGTAGCTTTAAAAAAATGTAATCTGCCTATGCATCTTTACACATCAGCTAAAAACGGTAATTCCACTTCTACTCGTTAACGGATACTAAAGCTTAACTAATATTCAATAAAATAATAGAAAACAGTGATGGGCTACTCTGCTCGCGAGGTCTCTTCTTATATTGCCATGAAGAGGACAATACAGAAAGAGATCCTTCCATGCAGTGCTTCTAAGTTCTTCATTTTAAGAATTTGTAAATCTGACAATTTCTAAATTTTTTAATTTAGAAATTTGTAAATTAATTTTTGTTTGCAAATTTAAAACTTTCGAAGTTTGCAAATTTAAAAGTTATAAAGTTTGAAATTTTTAGTGTGCTGTTTTTTAGATTACAAAATTTGGGAATCTGAAAATTTAATATATGAAGTTCTTTTCTTAGCACACCTAAATTTTGCACATTGTGCACAGCCCGTGCCAGTAATTTTTTCGGCGGGCACATCTGCCCACCACTGCTATAAAGCAACATAATATTGGGTGGATAACGAGGCCAGTAACGTTCAAAGTTACGTGTTTAACACCATCATAGAAGGTTATTAATTTTGTTGAATTGTTAACAAAATAAAAAATTGATAGAAATAATGAAAATGCTCCAAACTGCGTATATTAAAAAAAAAAGTAGTGCATACCTGGAGAAGGATAAAGAAGAAAGCAGTCCATACCCTTTTGCAAAAGATTATTTTAAAGAAAACAAAAGAATTTACAGTCAATATTTCATTGTTACACATTTTTGTAACAATAATAAAAATTAGGTACAGTCACGTATCTAATATCCATTTTTTAATAATACGTATTTTTCCTGAAAGCATGTCTCTTTTGTTCGAAATACAAATTTTGTACTGCCATCTTGCTTTCGCTAGAAAGATTCAAATCCACAATTTCTTCGTATCCTACGATAGGATTTAAACAGAACTGGTGCTGTATCCATCCGATATATGTGTGCACGTTGCGTGCTCTATTTAACGTCGAAACAGTTTTTATTTTTTCATTCCCCTTCAAACAATGACCAAGTGTAAAACGATCCAGAAGGCTGAACGAATAGCGCGGTCGTTTAAAAATCGAGTCCACACTATCTACAAACTTGTTATCATAAAATTTGAAAGTTGCGTAACATTGGACCTTCAAAAAACGTAAAACGTAGCCGCCATTTACAATAGAACTCGCACACGCTGTGTGTGGTAAACAGTTCATATTTGAGCCAAAGTGGACGAGAACAGGGTCCATACAATCCGGCTTCCAAAAACAGTTCAATAATGCAGGCTGCATATTTATATTGATTATCTCGTGGATTTTCTACTTACGACATTTCTTCTTTCTTCAATTAGATATTGAATCTGACCATAACTGTTATCTTTCTTCTTTGTTCAGTTACGGAATAATACAGGATATCGACATTATTACACTGTCGTCGATTGTCAATGTAACTAGTAACCGTTACATTTTTCCACATTACCATTGCGTCATTGATAACTTGCAGAGGAATGAGTTACAGTGAAGTTCACCGAAATATTCAATGTACAATTCCATTTATGTTAACATGTACCTCTTGGTTATCTTGTTAATTTATCTTCTTCGTGAAATACTTAGTTAAGATCGTGTTTTACTCTTCAAAACTTTTATACACCGATATTGTGTTTTATGTTTATTTGAATATTATGATGATCTTGCTGCAGCGTTTCGAGAATCTGTTTCTGCATATTATGCTCCGCCTAAGACACAAAATGAAGCATGTCATTTTTGAAATAAAATATATTGAACTATGAAGAATTGTATGTACCTGCAACGGCGTTAAACTTCCCCGTTTCGCTTGCAAAGCTGGATTTTTCAAATCCCTTGCTAGAACATTTAGTTGTGATTCTTGTAATGCCATGGTATTCATGAGTTGTAAATGTTTTCTCCTTATCTCGTTATTGATTGCCTGTGATAAATAATAATTTAGTATTTGTTTCAATAATATTTTCTTTAATTAATACTTACATTATTATCCGCTAATTGTACTTTCGTCTCGTTGAAGGAGTCTGAAAATATTGATAAATAATTGTAATTATTGTTGTAAATACTGTACGCAGTAGACGAATGTTTATATTATACTCACTTTCAAAAATTGGTACGTGCCTTAGATCATCGAATATTTTCATTATAAGATCTGTAAAGGAAAGAGACATTAATGAAGTTATATAAACAATGACAAGTACTGTGACTTAATATGACAAAGTCTTCTGCAAGACAGCTTCTCTTTACTGAGATGAGACTAAAATTAAAGTAACATCAGTACCTGGATTAGCATCCAGACTTGGACTCAGTAACGGATCATCCTTCAAGTCATTAAGGATGAACTGATCATCATCCGGATTCGGTGGTATCAGTGGAACACTCGAATCCACTTGCTGATAGTCCACAATAGCATCATTCAAAGTGGAATTCGGCGACTGAGAGCTCATATTGTTGTACTGATTGAAGTCCGTGGCGATCTCCAGGTATCCATCGGTAACAAAAGATCTGCAATCGACGTAGGAAACATTCGGCGGTTCATCGCTCCTGTTCGCCGGCACGTACGAGACATTACTATGTCTCTTCTTATTGCAACCCGTCCTGATATCCTCCTCGCTGTATATCCTCTTCAGCGGGTACTGGCGAGTCGACTTCGTACCGGCAGCACTGTTATCTACAATACCGTTATCAGGATATTCAATGACGGGTTCCTGGTGTTTGAACACGTCCATGGTGTGCTCGACCTTGATCTCGCAGGGATCCTTGACTACAGCTCCAGAGCTCAAGATATTCAGATCCCGAGGGACGTTCAGGTGAGACGTTCCAGGGTCGCGTGGGGAATTTATGCTCGGTTCTACGGTGGTATTTTTCCTGACGATCGCATCGCTCATTGGTAAAGGAATTTTTACATCTTTCACTGTTTCATTAGCTTTGTTGGTGACATCGTGGATCGTTATCGTCTTCCCTATAGATCTCGGACTGTCTTGCTTCTCGTGCTTGCTCGTTTTGGATCCCTGCTTCGGAGTTCGACTTCCCTTGCCTTGCACCACCAGATAATGGTCGATCTTCTTGATACCCAGCTTGCTGGCCTGAGCAGCGGCCGGTGGCAGATGCTGCGACACCATGGCAGCTTTCACGTACTGTTCGTTAGGCACCGGAGTATCCGACAGATGATCATCCGGCACCGACGACGACAAATCGCTGACCAAGTGCGTGATTGCGTCCTCCAGCTGCGACGGGTCTTCCACGCTGCTTTTCGGGTTCGACTGCTGCGAGTCCGTGTTCTATAAAATAATAACGATTGTATCTACTGCACGCACGTTTTGTAGAGTCAGTAACATTAAAATTACCATGTCGAACGACGCATCGTCCTTGCTCTGGATCGCTCGAGTGGATTCGGACACCGTGGCTGAGAATCTCTTCTTCATTTGTTTGACCAGTTTAATACCCTCCTCTTCTCTGCAAGGAAATTGGATATCCGATCGTGGTCAAGTACGTGGGTGTAGCGTTTGGTTAACAAACGCGTTAAAAGCACATTGCAGTACTTACGACACCAATGTGTTTATGCACACAAAAGATTCGACCGTTTGCGTGTCCTTGTCGAACTCTAAGTAGCCGTGCGTACGCAAATAAATAAACTCGCCGGTTTTCGACAGTAGCCTATAACAAGATGATCCACAGGTCTCCACGCGATCGTACACTGCGAAATCAATTTCGTTACGTTAGAGAAAATCGTGTGTACTTTTATACAACTTGTGGTAATTGTATAAGAGTATTATTACAATTGATAATATTCAGAAGAGCAAATCAGAACGTTCGAACTCACTCTGACGTAGAACGATCATCGTCCACCTGAAATCGTCCTTATGCATGAAACTGAAGGCGCTCAAACCTGACACCTCCTCGGACAAGTAGCCGGCAACCACTGATACCCTGTGATCACAATAAATAATCCTGCCGTCCACCAAATGTCTGGTGACGTACTCATCTTTATTCGCATCCATTATGGATATTTCGGTGATGGGTCGTTTCATCATAACCCTTGCTACACCCACGAAAACGATGTCGTTGCTGGTCGAATTGACTTCTGGAAGATAAAATATGGCCACATTATTTTTGAACAGCTGCGAAATACTCGGTTGCTAAATTGCTCAATGAGTGTTTCAATATTGGGCACATGTGGATTTGAAATTTGGTTATTGGGAACATTGGGCTGTTCAAATGTTGGGAACATTCCTAACTAAATTTGATTGATTGAATATCGTATGTGGAATTATCAGAATTATTTGACTACTTGAGGAATATTCGAATTATTAAGAGTTTGAAATTTGAATGTTACCTTGATGTCTCATTCGATTAGCGTTCGATTCAGGATTTCTGCAAGCATCCGCAAGCCTGAGCATCCCGGAGACTTCGAGGCATTCGTATTGCGTGTGTTCGCGCCTGGAAGCGGTGCGATGCCGTATTCTGAGCTCGAAGCTCCTCCTTTGCTCGCGGAACGGCCTCCTCTCGTTTCTGGAGGATGACGAGTCCTCCGAGGAATTGGAATTATCATTCATGCCGTCCATCTGCGGCGTCGACGAACTCACTCCTTGCATCTCGTCCGGGGTGAGGTTCCTGTTTAGTTCCTCGTGATCCTTCGGATCCACGAACGAGTAGAGCGAGTTGCCGAGTAGATCCGCCTGTAACATCGACCACGAAACACACCTCAATTAATTACGGAAACAATTAATTATTGCAAGATAATTCGTTAAAAGTCAACGGCAATATAGCGAGAGTCTGCAGTAATTCCAAGTTGAACATTTGACTATTTGTATTTTTCTGAGTATTTTCTCTTTCCACAGAAAGGAGATATGAAATTACAAAAGTATTGATTGTACTCGATTGTTATTAAAGGCACATTAACGTTTCGAAATTTCAAAATTTCAACATGTGCTACGAATTTGAGCTGGTTTCAAGATTATTGTTTACACAGATGTCGAATATCTTATTATCGTTCTACATTATACATTCCGGGGTATATTTGAATAAAGTAATTAAACTGTGCTACTGATGAACTTTACACCGAATATTCTCTGGGTAAATGAAATGTTTATGTTAGTAATTAAATCAATTAGATGCACATTCACCTTGCGTGCAACTTCTTTAATAAACATTCATTAAATTGCAAATTGTGAAAATATACTGTGGGTATCTATTTATTGCGATTACTCATGAAATTTGCTAGTTATTTTTGTCATAGCTTATATGGTAATTTTTAGAAATTTTGAATTTGGAAATTTGGGGATTTAGGGATTTTGGGGATTTGGGGATTTGGGAATTTAGGGATTTAGGAATTTGGGGACTAGGGAATTCGGGGACTAGGCAATTTTGGGATTACGGAATTTTGGAACTAGGGAATTTGGAAACTAGAGAATTTTGGAGCTAGGGAGTTTGGGAACTAGGGAATTTGGGAACTAGAGAATTTTGGAATTAGGGAATTTTGGAACTAGGGAGTTTGGGAACTAGGGAGTTTGGGAACTAGGGAGTTTGGGAACTAGGGAGTTTGGGAACTAGGGAGTTTGGGAACTAGGGAGTTTGGGAACTAGGGAGTTTGGGAACTAGGGAGTTTGGGAACTAGGGAGTTTGGGAACTAGGGAGTTTGGGAACTAGGGAGTTTTGGAATTAGGGAATTTTGGAACTAGGGAGTTTGGGAACTAGGGAGTTCGGGAACTAGGGAGTTTGGGAACTAGGGAATTTGGGAAGTAGGGAGTTTGGGAACTAGGGAATTTGGGAACTAGGGAGTTTGGGAACTAGGGAGTATGGGAACTAGAGAATTTTGGAACTAGGGAATTTGGGAACTAGGGAATTTGGGAATTAGAGAATTTTGGAACTAGGGAGTTTGGGAACTAGGAAATTTTGGAACTAGAGAATTTTGGTACTAGGGAGTTTTGGAACTAGAGAATTTGGGGACTAAGGATTTTAGGAACTAGGGAATTTGGGAACTAGAGAATTTTGGAATTAGGGAATTTTGGAACTAGGGAGTTTGGGAACTAGGGAGTATGGGAACTAGAGAATTTTGGAACTAGGGAATTTGGAACTTCAAGACTTTGGGAATATAAGGATTGAGAAGCTTGGGAATTAAAGAATTTATTAATTTGAAATTATAGGGAATTACAAGGGAATTAATGTAAGAATTTGTGAAACTTGGCAATCTAAAAACTGAAGGAAACTTTGCTGTCTCTAGATATTTGTAGGGTGAAACTTTTCGAACCTCGATATGTAACACCATCTAAAGTCCACAAACTAAAATAATTTCAAACACAGCAGATAAATTTCACAATCCTCATAAAAATTTTCACAGTAATAAATAAAAACAATTAATCATAATTAAAATCGACACGTTCCACGAATAAAAAGGACACGAAACGTCCACGTTCCTCGTTCTTCTGCATCCTGAGTCTTACGGCGATTTAATCGCGACGAAGATGGTGCACCACGTCGGCGACGGGGCACGTTTTCACCGCGGGGAGTTTCTCCTTGAGAACAATACCGACTGATTGTGAGTATCTTCTTAAAAAACTGGCGGATCCCGCAGAAATAACCCTCTGCTTCAACCCCGCTTTTCTCTCTATCTTCACTGGTCTTTCTTCTTCCTTGCTCCTTTAACGACGGCCATCTTTGTGTCCTTACACCCCGAAGTCGGAACTCGGCCGACCAGCAAGCAGGTTCGTTATGCTCGAATGTCGAATTATCGTTATGCTCGAATCTGGAACGCTAAGATTTCCGCGGGACCACGTGGATCGATAGAAAACCCATCTTTTTTTCCTTTTTCGCTTTTCTTATGGACTCAGCCTACTCTTCCTGGCTTGAGTTTTCATTCTCACTGTTCCTCTTTTAATTCTTTATTTTTTTATTCTTTCTTTACATTAATCTGCTATATTTTTTTTATTCATTCTTTGGATTTAAGACTTGATATTTTTTTTTATTTGTTCTTTGGATTTAAGGTTGATATTTTTTTTATTTATTCTTTGGATTTAAGACTTGATATTTTTTTTATTTATTCTTTGGATTTAAGACTTGATATTTTTTTTATTTATTCTTTGGATTTAAGACTTGATATTTTTTTTATTTATTCTTTGGATTTAAGACTTGATATTTATTCTTTGGATTTAAGACTTGATATTTTTTTTTATTTATTCTTTGGATTTAAGACTTGATATTTTTTTTTATTTATTCTCTGGATTTAAGACTTGATATTTTTTTTTATTCATTTTTTGGATTTAAGACTTGCTATTTTTTTTTTTATTTATTTTCTGGATTTAAGACTTGATATTTTTTTTATTTATTCTTTGGATTTAAGACTTCATATTTTTTTTATTCATTCTTTGGATTTAAGACTTCATATTTTTTTTATACATTCTTTGGATTTAAGACTTGATATATTTTTATTTGATCGTTCGTTTTAAGTTGTATTCGCATAAAAATCATCATTCGAATCAGTAAACGTAGAGCGTGGAATAAAAACGAACGTACAGGCGACGAAGCGTATTCTGTACATTCGTCGAGTTATTACTCGCAGCGAAAAAAAGGAACACAGCAAAAGCATCGACCCGATTCTCCGAACAATTTTTGAAAAATAACTGTGTACACGTGTCGAGTGATTGAAACCACTTCTAGTTCTTTTTTTTTGTTAATATATCGTTCTGTGGAAAGGTACAGTATGCAGCACGTGGCAAATGAAATCTCTATTTTCACAATGCATTTTCAACCCCTCTCTTGTTCTCTTTTTTCTTTGCCTGGTTGCTCTTAACGATCTCTGAAATTTCGTTCTTTTTCTCCTTTGTTTCGAAACATGGAAACGTTGCGAGATTTCTCTGAATAAAATGGAGAATCGACTGTTATCGACACGATGAATGTTGTCGGGAACGATGATTAAATAAATAAAAATAAGGGAGAAAATCAATGATGGGGTGGTTTCTGGTTGTAGTTGAAGGGAGGTACTCTGATTTTGTTTGGTTTCATTTTTTGTGCTTATACTGGGGTATGGTGTACAATTATACAATTGTTTAGAAATATAGATTTATACAATTGTTTAAAAATATAGAATTATACAATTGTTCACAAATATAGAACAATACAATTGTTCATAAATATATGTAGAAGTATAAAACTGTTTATAAATAGAGAACTATTACAATTGTATATAAATGTACAACTATACAATTGTATATAAAAGTACAACTATACAGTTGTATACAAATGTACAACTAAAATAATTCTGTATAAATATACAAGTATACAATTCTACATAAATATATAATTATACAATTGTATATAAATATACAATTATACAATTGTACATAAATATACAACTATACAATTGTACACAAATATACAACTGAACAATTTTGTATAAATATACAAGTACACAATTGTACATAAATATACAACTATGCAATTGCACACAAATATACAACTATACAATTATATATAAATGTACAACTATACAGTTGTATACAAATGTACAACTAAAATAATTCTGTATAAATATACAAGTATACAATTCTACATAAATATATAATTATACAATTGTACATAAATATACAGCTATGCAATTGCACTCAAATATACAACTATACAATTGCACACAAATATACAACTAAACAATTTTGTATAAATATACAAGTACACAATTGTACATAAATATACAACTATGCAATTGCACTCAAATATACAACTATACAATTGCACAAAAATATACAACTAAACAATTTTGTATAAATATACAAGTACACAATTGTACATAAATATACAACTATGCAATTGCACACAAATATACAACTAAACAATTTTGTATAAATATACAATTATACAATTGTACACAAATATACAATTATACAATTGTACACAAATGTACAATATAAACACTTCTCTACAAATATACAACTATACAATTGTAAACAAATACAAAACTATAGAATTGTACATAAATATACAACAATACAATTCTACACAAATGTACAACTAAACAACTATGTACAAATATACAAAAATATACAAATACATCAAATTGAAATTGTGTATATAAAATTGTATAAAAATATATAAATACACAAATTATAAAATTATACACAAATATACAAAAATATACAAATACATCAAATTGAAATTGTGTATATAAAATTGTATAAAAATATACAAATATACAAATATATAAAATTATACACAAATATACAAATATATAAAATTATACACAAATATACAAATATATAAAATTATACACAAATTATAAAATTATACAATGCTACATAAACATACAATACAATAAAGTAATTCAATAAAAAAATTTAATACAACAGTACAACTTTTATAAATTTATAAGAATGTAATTTTTAGATACAAATTTTTCCAATTGTTTTTTTTTTTTTACTTAGTGATTATTCAATTAAACAAAATTTATGGTGTTAATCAGTGTGTAAATGTTAGTATATTCAAGAATATTCTGGCTGGTTCTGAAATAAATTTACGATCGATTAATTTAGTGATTTATGAAGAGTCAGCTGAACAAATACACGAAAATATTTGTTGCAGTGAAAAAGAATATATCTGGGTGCACAAGTGTTGCCATGGAGGCGTGTTTACGTTGCATTCGTTTGATCGATAATTTCAAACTGAGTTGCACGAGTTATGCTTCGATTGCAAGTATAACTTCAATCAGTTGCAACTGTAACTTCAATCATTTTTTAGTACACTGATATAAAAATTTGATGCAAAGATTTAATGCATACAAATTTCACTTTATGATGAGTTATTAATTTGATATGTTAGATTTCATGTGATATAATAAACAGGGTTGTTATATATACACGTGCAAAGTATAATATTTTTTTAATTTTTTGATACTTCAATGTTATATTTTATTTTTTTTAAATTCATTGTTACATTTTATATTTTAAAAATTTATTTTTATATTTTATATTTTGATAATTCATATCAAAATTTATTTTTTAATAATTTAATATTATATTCTATTTTTTGAACATTCTATATTATATTTTATATTTTAATAATTCAATATTATACCTCATTTTTTAATCATTTGATTTTATATCTTATTTTTTAATAATTCAATGTTACATTTTATATTTTGATAATTCATATCAAAATTTATTTTTTAATAATTTAATATTATATTCTATTTTTTGAACATTCTATATTATATTTTATATTTTAATAATTCAATATTATACCTCATTTTTTAATCATTTGATTTTATATCTTATTTTTTAATAATTCAATGTTACATTTTATATTTTGATAATTCATATCAAAATTTATTTTTTAATAATTTAATATTATATTCTATTTTTTGAACATTCTATATTATATTTTATATTTTAATAATTCAATATTATACCTCATTTTTTAATCATTTGATTTTATATCTTATTTTTTAATAATTCAATGTTACATTTTATATTTTGATAATTCATATCAAAATTTATTTTTTAATAATTTAATATTATATTCTATTTTTTGAACATTCTATATTATATTTTATATTTTAATAATTCAATATTATACCTCATTTTTTAATCATTTGATTTTATATCTTATTTTTTAATAATTCAATGTTACATTTTATTTTTTGGTAATTCAATGTTATATTTCATATTTCAATAACTTAATACAATATTATTTTTAAATAATTTAATACAGAAATGTACATTTAAATGTACACATCACATCCACATGTGTAGTTACACCTTGTAGTTAATTAAATATAAAAATATTTTTATATAGGACTTATTTTTATATTTTTGTTTGTAGGACCTATTTTTATATTTTTGTTTGTAGGACAAAATGTCCGTTGTATGTAACATACAGTAGGAATGTAAAGAATGTATATACGTGTAAGCGTGGAAATAAGTGCATTTTTAACAGCAGATAACGAACGATGAGGGTGAAGTCTAAAGGGACAACAAGTAGAACGGAAGCTTTCGGAGCATATTGAATAACCTATTTGAAAGGTTTAGAACGAGTGAGTTTTCATGTTCTGTACTACACAAAAGGAGGGAAGATGAAAAGGATTATATTTATGAATCACCGTTACTATTTTACATTTAACGGACATCCATCAATCCTCTTTAATTATTCTATTATAAACCCTTGTATACAAAAATAATTGTACGTACAGAAATAATAAATCGATAACAAGATTTAATATTATTTCAATTAAATGAACATTTTTATTCTTTGTGAATGGAGAAGATAAAACATGCATACTTATTTGTTCCCTAACATAAAATCATGGCTATACAAATAATCAAAACTTCTGGCATTTTAATGAAGATAAAAAATAATGCAGTAAATAAATAAAATATGTCTACATATTTATAAAAATATAATATAAAATCATATTTGCATCTAACTTAAAATCATGGTTACATAAATAATCAAAACTTCTGATATTTTAATGAAGATAAAAAATAATGCAGTAAATAAATAAAATATGTCCACATATTTATAAAAATATAATATAAAATCATATTTGCATCCTAACTTAAAATCATGGCTATATAGATAATCAAAACTTTTGGCATTTTAATGAAGATAAAAAATAATGCAGTAAATAAATAAAATATGTCTACATATTTATAAAAATATAATATAAAATTATATTTGCATCCTAACTTAAAATCATGGCTATGTAAATAATCTAAATATCTGGCATTTTAATGAAGATAAAAAATAATGCAGTAAATAAATAAAATATGTCTACATATTTACACAGATATCATAAAAAAAATGATACATTTAGAAATAAAAAAAATTCATGTCTAAAATAAGTAAAATTCTAAAACTTAAGAATTTAGTAAAATTTGTAATAAAAAATAAAAAGCCAGGTGTAATAAATGAAATAAAATATATATCTACTTGTACAAATAATACTAAATGAAGTAAAGAAATAATAAGATGAAAATATCAAAAAAACATGAAACTAAGAAATGAGTAAACAATAATATTTTGAGTAAGAGAAAATAAACGCAATGTATAAATAAAATGAAATGTATATCTATTTGCATAGTTGTAATTATAAAATTGGCACAGCTTCATCCTAGTGGCAATATTTAACCTAGTGTATAAAACCTAGTGCAATGTTTACCTGAGAGTGGCCAAGGTGTTCCTGGACTTGCGGACTGATGTAAACTACTTTTCCAGTGGTAGTGAGCACGAGAAAAAAGCCTCCGGTTCCAATCAAGTTCTGCAGAAAAAAACAATTTGTTTGTGGTTATATACTGGTGGTTCGTGTTTCAAGAGGTAATAGAGTCGATCGATTTTCGAGTACTCACATCGACGATGTATTGTTCCAGGTCCAGCTCGCCCAATTCTTGAGGTAGAAAGTCGACTGTGCCACGTCCGAGAGCTGCAAAAGAATGTGGGTCCAAGTGAACAAATTTTTATATTTTTAATTTTCAAGTTTTGAAATTTTTAATTTCTGAATTTCGAGATTTTGAAATTTTTAAATTATCGTTTTTCAAATTTTCAGTTTTTATATTCTCAAATTTTGGAGATACCAATTTTCAAATTTTTCAGTTTCCACTTTTCAAATTCCTGAATTCTCAATTTCTATATTATCAAAGTCCCAAATTCTCAAATTTTCTATATTTTAATTCCTAAGTTGTCGAGGTCCCACTCTTCAAATTTCCAAAGTGTCAAGGTCCCACTCTTCAAATTCCCAAAGTATCAAGGTCCCACTCTTCAAATCCCCAAATTATCAAGATTCCACTCTTCAAATTTCCAATTTTGTTAAGTTTCCATTCTTCAAATTTCCAAATTGTCAAGGTTCCACACTCTTCAAATTCCCAAATTGTTAAGTTTCCACTCTTCAAATTATAAAGATTCACCTCTTCAAATTTCCAATTTTGTCAAGTTTCCATTCTTCAAATTTCCAAATTCTCAAGGTTGCACACTTTTCAAATTCCCAAATTATCAAGATTCCACTCTTCAAATTTCCAATTTTGTCAAGTTTCCATTCTTCAAATTTCCAAATTGTCAAGGTTCCACACTCTTCAAATTCCCAAATTGTTAAGTTTCCACTCTTCAAATTATAAAGATTCACCTCTTCAAATTTCCAATTTTGTCAAGTTTCCATTCTTCAAATTTCCAAATTGTCAAGGTTCCACACTTTCCAAATTCCCAAATTATCAAGATTCCACTCTTCAAATTTCCAATTTTGTCAAGTTTCCATTCTTCAAATTTCCAAATTGTCAAGGTTCCACACTTTTCAAATTCCCAAATTATCAAGATTCCACTCTTCAAATTTCGAATTTTGTCAAGTTTCCATTCTTCAAATTTCCAAATTGTCAAGGTTCCACACTTTCCAAATTCCCAAATTATCAAGATTCCACTCTTCAAATCCCAAAATTCTCAATTCCCCAATTCTCAAATTTTCTATATTCCAATTTCCAAATTACCAAATTTCCACTCTTCAAATTCCCAAATTCTCAAATTCCCGCATTTCCAAATATCTAAACTTCCAATGTTCAAGTCTATTACCTACCCAATCCTAATTTCCAAATTTTTAAGGTACTATTCTTCAAATTCCCAACTTATCAAATTTCCACCCTTCAAGTTCTTTAATTATCAAGTTTCCACTCTTCAAATTTCCAAATTCTGCAATTCTCACTCTCCAACTTCCCAAATTCCCAAGTTCTCAAAATAGAAAATTTCTTTCTTCTCCAAAACTTCTAATAATTCTAAAGTGACGATGAAACTTCATAGAAGTTTTATAAGTACGTAACTACAGTTATTGATGGGAACAATGACACCAAAGGTGCTAATGGTCACACAAGACAAATAGATAAAACTTACTGTACTGTATCCTGAGATAAGCGGCAGCTAGTCTCAGGATGGATATTTTGTCCATCTTCCTCGGACTCTCAGCAACAGTAGGTATGAGTGTAGCCATCGCTGAGATGTTTGTGTTAAGATTGTCGCGGCGTTGTTTCTCCGCCATGTTCCGCGATGCCCTCGGATTACTGCAACAATAAGCAACAAACCCAATTACAATAATTGTTCAAACATAATACAATTTTTAAATACAGTTTTTAATAAATGATTTTCCGATATGTTCACCATTCATTAAATACAAATTTTGTACAACTTTTATTTTAGTATAATTCCATGAATTTTTCATAATTTTTAAATACAGTTTTTTATAAATGATTTTCTGATACGTTCATCATTCATTAAATACAAATTTTGTACAATTTTTATTTTAATATAATTCCATGAATTTTTCATAATTTTTAAATACAGTTTTTTATAAATGATTTTCTGCTATGTTCATCATTCATTAAATACAAATTTTGTACAATTTTTATTTTAATATAATTCCATGAAATTTTCATAATTTTTAAATACAGTTTTTAATCAATCATTTTCTGGTATGTTCATCATTCATTAAATACAAATTTTGTACAATTTTTATTTTAGTATAATTCCATGAAATTTTCATAATTTATTAAATACAAATTTCGTATGAATATTTCTAAGGTATAAAATTTGCAAGAAAAAATTAAACAATTTTTATAAAATAATTGTAAAAATGAATAACAAATTTTTTTTATGAATTACAAAATATGATTTTTTTTTTTTTCATTATAGAATTGATATAATTTATATATTTATCATAAAATTTAAAAAAATGTTCACTTTAAATTTAAAGAACTTCGTGTAACAATATTCGCGTACAATATCAGCCAGCCTTGATTTGCCACATAATTCATAATTCATATCTAGTAATTATCAAGGTCAGCAATTAAAAACTGAATGGAATATCCCCACACGTGAACCGCGTGAGAAAGTTGACATCGTGTAAGCACAAAATACATAACACATACATGAAAATGATGCGTAGAAGACAATTTATCAAGAATAAGAGGAAAGGTTCATATTTTCCGTGCGTCCGTGAATTTTGTTCGAGCTGATGTGAAATTCGAACGACCAGGAAGCTTAGCATTCTGCGTTCCTAGTGGAAATATTTGTATGTTGGAACTACGCCGATTTGGTGTTCGACCAAGAAAACTTGTATGTAATCAAACGGTGACCATGAATCGCGTGCGATCATTGTTGATTACTCTGTAAACTGTTTTTGCTATGCGTTTTGCGTACGATAAACGTTTGCTACCAGTTACTGAAATTTGCTACTGGTAAAATTTACTAGTCATAAAATTAGAGAATAAATAAATAAAAATATTTTGCGAACTACATTGCAAATTTAGATGGTAGAGAATATAGTGGAGTTCCACTGTTATGTAGAGGAGTTTCGCTATATGGCCCTGGACGGCGAACTACATTGCAAATTTGGATGGTAGAGAATATAGTGGAGTTCCACTGTTATGTAGAGGAGTTTCGCTATATGGCCCTGGACGGCGAACTACATTGCAGATTTAAATGGTAGAGAATATAGTGGAGTTCCACTGTTATGTAGAGGAGTTTCGCTATATGGCTCTGGACGGCGAACTACATTGCAAATTTAGATGGTAGAGAATATAGTGGAGTTCCAGTATTATGTAGAGGAGTTTCACTATATGGCCCTGAACGTTGAAGAAGAAAAGCTGTATAAATAGGTTTGTATAGAAAGGGCCATATAAGGGGAATTTCTACGAATTACCTAAGCACCCAAATACGAAAGCACCCAAATACCAAAGCACCCAAATTCCAAAATACCCAAATCCCCAATATGTCCAAATACCTAAGCACTCAAATACCAAAGCATCCAAATTCCAAAATACCCAAATTCCCAAAATGTACAAATACCTAAGCACCCAAATACCAAAGCACCCAAATACCAAAGCACCCAAATACCAAAGCACCCAAATACCAAAGCACCCAAACTCCAAAATACGCAAATACCAAAGCACTCAAATTCCAAAATACCCAAATGCCCAATATGTCCAAATACCTAAGCACCCAAATACCAAAACACCCAAATTCCAAAACACTCAAATCCCCCAAAAATCCAAATACCTAAGCACCCAAATATCAAAGCATCCGAATACCAAAACACCCAAATCCCCCAAAACTCCAAATACCCAAACCCCCAAATATCTAACCTTCCCCCTACAAAAATAATAAAAATCTTCAAACCCAAAAATCCTCACCATCCAAAATTCCAAACCCAAAATACAAAAACACAAAAACCAAACTTGGAAGTGATACATAAATTCTAAAAACTTCGTATCAACCAACCTGTTGAAAAGCTAAATTTATGTCACATGTAACGAACCATGAAACGATCATCACGCGAAGTGTTCTACCGCTGTCGAGGAGACAGTTTGAAGGGAAATGTTTGTCACATGTCAGACCAACCGACTGTTCCTCGTTAGTCTAGCCCGATCGTTTGCTGTTTTTTTTTTCTTTAATAGACTATACCAACACGACATCTGTGTATCAGCAACCTTGAAACGTTTCTTTGGATCACTTTTTAACGACCAAGATGAAAACTCGAAGATTACATAAAGTGGTCGATCTTTAACGTGACGTTAACGATAACATAAAATCGAGACGTCTACATTCCTAGTCACAGATTTCGGCTATTTAATTTTCTCTGTAGATCCAGACAAAGTTCAGCGATACGAGAGTACATAAAGCTTCAGGTAAACGACCGATATCTGAACTAATCAAACAAAACGCATTCCAGAGATGCTCATTCGCTGGCAAAATTGTTTGCACGTAAAATTCAAAATTACTAAAGTTGGGTCATATAGCGATACGGGCCATATAAGGGTACTTTGAAAGACGTTATGTAATATTACTTTATCGAATCGATTAAACTCTCAATTATCTATCGATAACATTAACACTAGGTTTACGGACATTTACTATCTCTACACGCGTCAATTTGACGCAAGAACGAATACATTTAAAGAAGAACAACCATTTAGAATATAATTAAACTAACAGGAATCTAATGCGTGGTAATCCAACGCGTAGTAATGCAACGTGTGGTAATGCAACGCGTAGTAATCCTACGCGTAGTAACCCAACGCGTACTAATACAGCGTGTGGATATCCAACGCGTAGTAATCCAACGCGTGGATATTCGACGCGTAGTAGTCCAACGCGTAATAATCCTCGCGCTCAACGCGTGGTAATTCTAAGCGTAGGAATCTAATGCGTGGTAATCAATCGCGTAGTAATCCAGCATGTGGATATCCAACGCGTAGTAATCCAACGCGTGGATATTCGACGCGTAGTAGTCCAACGCGTAATATTGCAACGTATGGTAATGCAACGCGTGGTAATTCTACGCGTAGTAATCCAATGCGTAGTAATCCAACGCGTACTAATACAGCGTGTGGATATCCAACGCGTAGTAATCTAGCGCGTGCATATTCTACGCGTAGTAATCCAAAGCGTAATAATGCAACGCGGGGTAATTCTAAGCGTAGGAATCTAATGCGTGGTAATCAATCGCGTAGTAATCCAGCATGTGGATATCGGACGCCAACGCGTACTAATACAGCGTGTGGATATCCAACGCGTAGTAATCCAACGCGTGGATATTCGACGCGTAGTAGTCCAACGCGTAATAATGCAAAGTATGGTAATGCAACGCGTGGTAATCCTACGAGTAGTAATCCAATGCGTAGTAATCCAACGCGTACTAATACAGCGTGTGGATATCCAACGCGTAGTAATCCAACTCGTGGATATTCGACGCGTAGTAGTCCAACGCGTAATAATCCTCGCGCTCTGATTGGTTCCGTGTTTTTCCTTAATAATTCAAAAACGAAGCTTCAAACTCCATTCAATATACATTTACCTTGTTCAATGGATAAAAGTCAGTACAGTAAAATAAAAATACGAACAGTTAATTTTCCTAAAAAAGTTCGAAATGCGTCAAAATGACGTGTCCTGTATACCTTGTGTTAAAGACCCAAATTAAAACTATCTACTAAAAACCCATTATTCTGTTGTTCGGAACTTCGAGTACATCCATTTTTCGATTTGTTAAAACGTAGAAGGTTCTGCAGTTAAAACCATCGCTGCACTACGTCAGTGCGTCTATTTATAAAAGTTAGGCGTAGATTATAGCCGTAGTACAGACCTCGATTACGCACTCGTGTACACAACAGCTGCTTCTGGACGGAGATATCAAACAGCATAGATTTATGGTTCGAACACGCACACGTTCCTCGACAAGTGTACAACAGGTCGTTGGATCTTTTCAAATATCTCGCCCGTCAAAGAAATCACTTTCGACGTTTTATGTCTCGCTGCGACCCGATCGAACTCCAATGGCCCGCTTCTTCAAATAAATAGATCTTTTATTACCGTCTCAATCATTTGTTGTCAACGGTTAGGTTAGGTGTTCATTGGTTAGAAGAGATTTAAAGAGAAATTTTTAGTAACTTCAATTTTTGTTACTATTTTTTTTTGTGCTGTTTTTGGACTTTTTTGACTGAGTTTGGTAATTTTTGTAGTTTTGTAATTTTCAATTTTAATTCATACTGTAATTTATAATTTTAGTTATCTTATAAGTTAATTGATTTTTAGCTTTCGATTGTTTTTTAACTTTAATTTGCTTTTAGTTTTGAAGTACTTTGTAACTTCAATTTATTTGAAACTTTGAATTACCTTTTAACTTGAATTGATCTTTAATTTTGAATAACCCTGTAGCTTTAATTTATTTTCAACTTTCAATTATCTTGTTACTTTATCTTTAGCTCTGAAGTGCCTTGTAACTTCAATTTACTTTAAACTTTGAATTATCTCATGACTTTAAGTGATCTTCAACTTTGAATAACCCTGTAACTTTAATTTATTTTCAACTTTCAATTATCTTGTTACTTTATCTTTAGCTCTGAAGTGCCTTGCTTTAATTTATTTTCAACTTTCATTTTAATTCATACTGTAATTTATAATTTTAGTTATCTTATAAGTTAATTGATTTTTAGCTTTCGATTGTTTTTTAACTTTAATTTGCTTTTAGTTTTGAAGTACTTTGTAACTTCAATTTATTTGAAACTTT